CAGGCCCGAGGAGTGGACTCCCCGGCTAAGTGTACACCCCTAATTCTGCTCAATTCAAACCATTTCAATTAAATTCAGTACAAGCCAAAACAATTAAAAACCAATTTAAAAGTAATTCAAGCAATTCAGTCCAATTCAAGACAATTTAAATTCAATTTCCATCAATTCACGCTTATTCAGTGAATTAAAGTCGCGATGATTCAAACCAATTCAAAACCAATTCAACCATTTGTGTCCAATTCAAATTAAACTCAAGCCAATTCAAATCCAATTCATAACTTTTGTACACCTAATTCAAATTGGTAGGCTCCTCGCGTCGGACCTCTTGAAACTCGAGCGGTCGTGCGGTCCCAGATGTTTGCTCTCTTAAGTATCTGGCTGTGCGTCATATGTCAGCAATAACATGAGTCGACTTTTCCCCCTTCCTCCTCCCACTCATATCTCTACTGTTTCTTCTAGTGACCCCTAAAGGTGGTTTGTAAAAGCAGGTGTTCTAAAAACACCTCTCGCTCAGGAGAAAGTCCAGTTTAAATTTAGAAAACTATTGTTCTAACTGCAGAGTCCGAAAAAAGTAGTACTTTTTTGTAGGTAAACCATAGTTTAATATAGTTTAATTCAATTTTTCCTCGTGCTACTTGACTCTAGTTTAACTTAAGATTCTTCCAGCCGGGACATCTTCGATGGTGGGAACCATCCGCGCATCTGCACTACCAATGTTCACTTGCATGCACAATTTCAGATTTTATGGAATGTCTAATTTAAATCTCGCGGATCATTCGCATGCCTGTCTCACATAGACCCCTCGCCAATTGTGAGATATAATTGAGGTTGAGTGATACATCACATGACTGCAACAACTATTTTTTGTAAACTCTGTCAACCTTGACCGAGTTCCCCGGGACCTGCTTCTGGATGAATATAATTAAGGTTCAAATAAGAAACTCATCGAACCAAACTTGACTTTGAAACTCATCGAACCACACTTGACTTTTGAATATTGTCATGTTGTGTTACATAAAGTGATGGTCAGGTCCTGCTGAAAGTTTCTCCTGGGGACGTTCCTTCCGGGATGTGACAATCACCTCCCACTCAAGACGCACTGGTGGGAGGTGCTTATCTTCTGCTCAGGGTCTAAAAAATGTTGTATTCTGTAGTACTGTGGGACGTTCTGGCTGCGACGTCTCACATCCCAACCAGGTTGTACCAGGGATGTGATCGGGACTATGTTTTGGCGACTGGGAATTTTTAGCTTATTTTCGTCAAAAAAAAAAAAAAAACACGGTAAAAGAGATCGCCAAACGGACAAAATTTTAGGTCAAAGGACTGTACTCTCACGAGTTACCCCTTAAGAGATCGTAAATAAGATATGTTTTTCTAACTTTTCTGACCTACCCCCTTCTCTTTTGATACCCCATTTCAGCCCCTTAGGGTTGGTTGCAAGGATTCGCCGTAGGCGTTTTGTTTTCTAGGGGTGAACCTTAAGATACCGGTATCTGGTATATCAGGGCCCTGAAAATTTGAAGTCTCTAACACTTTTCCATCTTGTGAAACAAACAGACACACAGATAGACATGAGGTCGTTTGCATGAGCCCGCTAGATAGCTTTTCTAAAGCAGAAGAGCGGGCTAAAAAGCAGCAAACATATGGTTCCAGTAATGGTTAACGCCCAGGGCGTTCCACTGGCGCTCCAGCACCTCCACGTCAAACGCAGCAGCTGGAAAAATATGCACTTTTATTTTTACCCTTATAGTTCGCCGGTTATAGTTAAATAGACAGATAAAAGAATCGTCAGGAGATCGCACTTACCAGCTCGTTTAAGGGGTAACCGCCTGAACAGGGGACGGGCACGCCGAGCCAAAACACGGTTCTGTGCAAAAAAGCGAAGGCGCTCCAGTCTCAATGCAGTTTGGCAACCTCTGGACCATCTCCTTGACGAGGCGCACAAGAAAGTCCTTGCACTTTTGGCGGACGACATCGAGCACTGCAGGAATAAGCCCGAGACTTTCCGCCAAGATCCGGAATGACTCCCCATAATCGACTCGATCAAGTGCCCGGTAAGCATTGGGGTCTTCCAAAGTACGTTTGAGCACATCCAGGTCAGCTGTGCGTAGTACGCTATCTTCTATTGCCACCTCTGGGAGAGCACCTGTTTTAAGGACTCGCCGGGCAAGGGAGAACACAAACACTCGAAGGTCCCTTTACACCTTCGTTATATCATCATAGGATTTTTGAAACAGCATGTTGTGCCGATTGACTTCGAGCAGGACAGGGCGTAGAAACGTTAGGTAGAGTTTGTTAGTCGGATTGTACATGGCTGCCAGTGTGTCGGCCGTATGGCACTGGTTCTTCTCCTGTGTGAACAGCTCCTTTAACGGTTCAAACGAATTCAATATGCGACCCACGGCCTTCCCCCATGACAGCCTGCGGGTGGTTGCCAGCTTGACAAGCATGGGTGGCTCTTTTCCATCATTAAATGTCTGTAAATTAACAAAAACAAGTGGGTTAAATTCGTGTTTGGCATGAGCGGCTATTTATTTAATTCATTTAATAAAATTACCTTGTAGATCTGTGCATACTTGTCTTTTCGAATGACACTGTGAGAAAACCACTTTGTACTTTCCCTCACTAAGAATCCGAGTGTGTTTGGCAGTTCTTTTGCTTGCATAAGATGCGCATCTGTCGAGGGAATGACAAACACAGAGCATAAGAGCCAGTTTTGGGCACTCGTTGTCCCTCAGTAAGGCATAAAGAGAGTGAAAACGGCCGGACACATTCGGAGCAGCGTCGGTCCCCAAGCCGATCATTTTGTTTAGAGGGATATTCAGATTGATCATAAAAGCTTTCAAATCATTGTACAGGACCTCTGCTGTTTGTCTGATAAAAGGTATGAGTCCTAGACATACTGTCACCATTTTCTTCTTTGAAAAGCTATAGTATGTCATCATGACTGCCATGTTCTTCGAAAGATCTGTCGATTCGTCCACTATTAATGAGTAATAGCCATCCCCGAGGTCGGCCACTATCTCCTTTAGCATTTCAGGTCCTAGAACCTTCAGGATTAACTTTGAACATTTAGTTCTATGAAGTCTCAGAGAACTGAGCTGGCTTTCAACAAGCACTTCTCCTAGGTGGTCAATTGATCTAGTGGTGCAGTGGCAGCCGACATATGCTGCAAGTCTTAGACTAGCTATATGTACGCCAGACCACGTCTCGCGTAACAGGCTTCGCGATATCTCACGAAACACTGTTACGCTGCGACGCGCCTGGCACACATATAGCTAGGCCTGCCCCCAGACAAAGAAAATCCGGGCAAGTACCAGGCAGGTTTCGGGCAGCCCCCGGGCAACCCCCGGGCAACCCCCGGGCAACTCCTGGGCAACCTCCGGGCAACTTCCGGGCAACTTCCGGGCAACTTCCACCCCTCTGGTCTCCGCACTGGTTACAAAGTAGGAAAGTTGCCCGGTGGTTGCCCGGTACTTGCCCGGAGGTTGCCCAAAGTTGCCCGGATGTTGCCCGGTGTTGCCCGGAAGTTGCCCGGAGGTTGCCCGGGGGTTGCCCGGGGGTTGCCCGGGGGTTGCCCGGGGGCTGCCCGAGGGTTGCCTGGAACCTGCCTGATACTTGCCCGGATTTTCTTTGTCTGGGGGCGGCGCTGACACCCGAGACGAGTTAAGGAGAGAGTATAGGGGATCAGGGCCTTCCAGGCCCTAAATTTGACATACTCGAACCATATATCGGTGTCTTATTACTCAAAAATTAGGAACATGACACTTCTGCTGTTCGGTAACGGTTTTCATTAAAAGTTCGAATTTGGACAGATTGTTATGTAAAAATCAACGGTTTAGAGATACTAGATAATCTAGGGACCATTAAGCCCAAAAGAGGGTGTGGTTCGACCTGTGGTTTAGGTGTTACTCCCTTCACAATTCTGTGACATGAAGCCTTTTTTACGATTTAATGGACCATTTTGTCCCTTTTCACGTTGTTTTCGCCAAGAAAT